ATTGTTCAAATCATGGCCCCCCAGGAGAAGGGTGGGATCACAAAAGGGAATCAAATTTTTTCATTTAAATATATAGGAAAAATCGTTAAAGTCTTCTTCTCAAAATCACTGGGCCAGAAAAACCGAAACTTATGTGGAAGCCTCCTGAGGAAGTGTAGATTCCACTTTGTTGAAATCATGGCCTCCATGGGTAGGGTGAGGCCACAATGAGGGATGAACCTCAATAGGGATTCAAAGTTTAACATTGAAATATGTAGGAACAAGATGTGTTTGTGAAACACTGATGCCCCCGTATGGCAGCTTATGGCGAAGGTTAGAGGTTTCTCAAATGCAAGTCAAAAATCCAGGCCAAAAGATAAAAAATTTTGGTACCCAAAGAAAGGTCTTGTCTCGAGGAATATACCTGTGAAATTTGAAAGCCCTAGCTGCAACTGTTCAAAAGTTATGGCCAAGGTTAAAGTTTTTCAAAAGTAAGTAAAACGTCAAGGTCAAAGATGTTGGTATCCAAAGGAAGGTGATGTCACAAATATTACATATGTGAAGTATGAAAGCCCTAGTATTAATTCAAAAGTTATAGCCAAGGTTAAAGTTTTTCAAAAGTATGTCAAACTCCTAGGTCAAGGTCAAAAGGTCAGAGTGGTTGGTATGCAAAGGAAGGTCTTGTCACAAGGATTACATATGTGAAGTATGAAAGCCCTAGCTCCAACCATTCAAAAGTTATGGCCAAGGTTAAAGTTTTCAAAAGTAGGTCAAACTCCTAGGTCAAGGTCAAAGCGTCAAAGAGGTTGATATCCAAAGGAAGGTCTTGTCACAAGGAATACACATGTGAAGTTTGAAACCCCAAGCACCAACTGTTCAAAAGATATGGCTAAGGTTAAAGTTTTTCAAAAGTAGGTAAAACTCCAAGGACAAGGTCAAAAGGTAAAAGTTGTTGGTATCCAAAGGTAGGCCTTGTCACAAAAAATACACCTGTGAAGTTTAAAACCCCAGGCTCCAACTGTTCAGAAGTTATGGCCAATGTTAAAGTCTCATAAAATTTTGCAAAAGTGGGTCAAACTCTAAGGTCAAGGTCAAAAGGTCAAATATGATGTTACCCTAAGAAAGGTCTTGTCACAAGGAATACACTTGTGAAATATTAAAGTCATAGCTCCAACCAATCAAAAGTTATGGGCAAGGTTAAAGTTGACAACAGACAGGCAGGCAAACAGACAGGACAAAAACAATATACCCCCGGAATCGAAAGAAAAAATATTTAAAAATCTTCTTCCCAATAACCACTGGGCCAGAAAAGCTGAAATGTATATGGAAGCGTCCTGAGGTAGTGTAGATTGTAAATTGTTCAAATTATGACCCCCGGGGGTAGGGTGGGGCCACAATAAGTATTACAAGAGGGAAAATCTGTTGAAGGACAGCAAGGCCAAAGAAAGTCAGGTGAGCATTTTGGCCCATTGGCCTCTTGTTTAGAATAAAGATCGTTTCGCCAACTTAAAGGTCACTGATAGAAAAAGTATAAAAATCTTATGTACTTCATAACTCTGGAATAAATACTGGAAGTTGATACTTCTAAAAAATTGAGGGTATGTCATTATCTTGACTCAGGGTTATTTTGGCAAGTACAAGGTCACTGGCAGAAAAGTGTTAAAGCCATTACTTTTTTAAATGAAGTTTGTACTTTACACAAAAAAATACTTATGACTAGAGAATTTGTCATTTTCTCGAACCAAGGTCATTTTGGCAAGATCAAGGCCATTTTAAGAAAAATGTTTATGGGCACTTTTTTAAAAAGAAAAGTTGCAACTGGAGGAGGTAATTTTTGAGATGGTTTCAGTATCAAAACTCATGTTCTCCTTACGATTCTGTCCAATTTTGAATGTTTTATATAAATCAAAACAGCTAACACTCGAGAGAGCTTCTGTAATTCTAGCCCGGACCTCTAAACCATGTATTTTGATATTTTATATTCATGTTTATAGTTTGTATTCGTTTGGAATTTATTTAATAAATTATGTTGAGAGATAAGGTTAGGAGGCATTATTTGAATGATCAAAGAGAAATTCATATAGACAAGAATTGAGACACTCTGTGCATGTTTTGTAATTTTTTTTATTAATTATAATATTTTATATATTTGTATTTTATCTAAATACAGATCTCACATTGATAAACATGTAATTTATGTTTCACTTGCTTTTTCTTTTCTATTTTCAAAATAAACATCGATTTTATTGTTCTTTTGAGTTTTACTTCACATGTACACAATTATGTTTCAGAATTATCTTAACGTGGTAATGGGAATCATTTATCAAATTATGAAAAACTTTTTGATGGTTGTATTATTTATCAATTTATTCAAATATTTAGATCTATAGAATTAAAATTTATGGGGTCTTTTAGAGCCGATCAAAAGTAATTCCATCTGACGAATCTGGCAATGAAATGTGATACTCAAAAACGAAGTGACTATTTTCATTATACGAAGCGCAATTTTTATTGTGTCGTATTTGGATTGACATATTTCATACCAATTGTTAGCCAATAGGCCTTTGTTTCATTTTGCATTTTTCACAAAAGCAGGCAAGTTCTCGAGTGAATATTCTCGAGTCGTGAACGATAACTTGATCTACAGACCGGGTGTAAAACACTGATATACATGTAAACATTAAGCTGTCATCTCTTGGGATGCAGTCTAGAAACGAAATAATCTTCTACCACACACAGGTTTTGTCTTTGTCAAATTTGACACCGCAAATTCGTCAATGTATAACCGCTTGTCCTCGTAAAACTCTTGAGGCCCATATCACTGATTTCAAAATAAAATATAACTAATGGAAAAGAGTCGATGAAACTAAATGTCTAATTTCTATAACTCTCAACTTATTTTAAAACAAACATCGAATTCGTCAATGTATAACCGCTTGTCCTCGTAAAACTCTTGAGGCCCATATCACTGATTTCAAAATAAAATATAACTAATGGAAAAGAGTCGATTAAACTAAATGTCTAATTTCTATAACTCTCAACTTATTTTAAAACAAACATCGTATTTACCGGTAATGATCGAATCCTTAATTTCTAATTATAAAGAAGTGTTCAATGATGATCTCTATGTTCTCGTAAGAACTTTCCACACCATCAAGCAGTGCATGACGATAATCCTAAAATAAATTCCGACTTCTGTTTTATAGTTGTTTTAATTCTGTACATCGGTAGTTTTCATGGACACAGATTAAGCTGAAAATTAGAAACGAGTGTTTGAAATTGGTTGTATTGCCAAGTTTCTCGACGTCAATGCAACGGAAACGATTTTAAGAGCTGTAATAAATTAATGTGAAAATGGTTTACTAACTTTTGTTTCCTTTTTTAATAAGAAGTTTTCGATTATTTTGTTGCACTTAACTGCCTTTTCAAATCTTTCCCTTTTTACCATTTCGTCGATTTCTTCGTCTCCAGTTTCCTCTGGGAGTAAGTATAGTTTATGTATGCCGCATTCTGCGCAATTTCGCCTCAAACATTTAAAATCATGATTGAAACACAGTGCGACATCTACTAATCGATTAAAGACTCAAGATAATGTGGTTTCATTTCCAGTGTAATTGCCATCTGTATTAAAAACTTTTTTCGGAAAGTCCATACAAGATTTGGAGGCAACTTTGTTTCTACAAGATACTAGTTCTTTCAACAGCAGGTATGCCTGTCCGAGACCAGGCCTGTCTCACGAAGTTAGGCTTGCAGTTCTCAAATGAGCTCTGAGAATTTTTTTTACTAGTGTCCGTATTTTTCTCGAACCTTTTTCCAGGATCTTCACTCCATGGCTTATTTACGTTTTGGGCTCTCTTCGTTCACGTTTGATATCTGTCTTATTTCCTGTTGGTCTAGACATATCTGTTCGTACAGCTAAAAGTCGTGGATAAGTCTTTTTTTCATTTGGATGTACATCAGACCTGGTTTTTTAGACGTATAGGTCCAACAGGGTTTTCTGTTTTCAATATAGTTGTACGAATTCTGTTCCCTTTAATAATACGTCAAATTGGTAATCCAAGTGTTTTAGCTAGAATTTTTCGGCATGTGCTTAGGGTCACTAGTTCCCTACTGATAGAGGGAACAAGAACATTCATTGAGGTGAATCTTTTGATCTTTTCATTTTGCAACTGTAATTTTTCATAGATGGCTCGATCTGACCTGAAAGGAATGTATCATTATATATAATACTAAGGGTTCTATAATTGTAGAATATAAAGAAATTTTGCACAATATGACATTATTCACATACTAATCCTCACGAGTCTCTATGCCATCCTATATCTGTAAGGTTGTTCAAGCAAATTTACGTTAAAATAGGTTTCATTTCAAGTTTTCATTATTTTGCATTTAAGAGCAAAAGCCAATGTGTTGCGTAATTACATGCATGCTGGACTTTGAATATTATTATATCCACGATGTGTAGCACATCGTCTAGGCATTCGTTGGTATGTATAGTTTAACCTTCATCGTCCATGCGATGTATCGTGTCATTAAGTGTATTTGAACGGCTAAGTGATTATTAAGTTCTCGTATGAAATACATCTATAATATTCAGTCTACCTCATTATCATCATATGACCTTGAGGTCAAGGTTATAGTGTTTAATATTTAGCTATGCAAGTGATTCAGTGCTATTGTTTTACTCTACTTCTTTTAACAGAAGCTTGAAACAGTCCAATTAGATTAAACAACACAAACATGACAATAGTAAAAAAAGTCAAATTAACTGAGTGGCAGGAAATACAAAATTTAGAACCGACTATATTTCATACATGTACATGTGCATATGTATAAATTGGCCAGATTGGGAATATTTCTGACAAATATTTACATATTAATTATGTATATCAATATATTTTCCAACATGAACAAACTACACGGTTTCTTAAAAGTATGTGAACTTCTTGGCATTTTACCAACTGGAGAAGGACCTTGTTCCAATAATAAAGTCACTCACTTAGATAAGATATATCCATAGCGATATAATCATGATTGGAATTGCACTATTTTTGTCTGGTAAGTATTATCATTTATTTCCATATTTTGACGACGTAAAATTTCGAAAACTTGGGTCCTCTGTATCCTTGAGAGAGAAAATGTTAACGAAGCATATGAAGGACAAGTCCTTTAAAAATAGTATAGTAATGGAATTTAAATTTTTTTTTACAAAAACATATGTACTTTTAGAAAAATCTCTTTATATGGGAAAAATATACCTTTCAACCCCCTTTAAACAAAAAATATATATATATATATACACATGTCTGTTTCATTACACCAATCATCCAAAAGCAATGACTACCAAATGCTCTGTAGATTGATTGATTGTATGTTGTTGAACGTCCCATTCGAAAATTTTTCACCCATATAGAGACGTCACCGTATGCCGGTGAAGGGCTTCAAATTTAGACCTATACTCGGCACTCAAGGTCATTGAGCAGTGAGGGTTCTTTATCGTGCCATCGACTACCGCGACACGGGACCACGGGTTTTTAAGGTCTCATCCGGAAGACCCGTGACTTTCACTTCGGGCGCTTGGCGAAGGAACAGTCACTACCCATGTTTACGTCTTACATTTGACGCGGCGCGGCGAATGAGAATCGAACCCGGGTCCCCGATCACAAAGCTCTGTAGAGTGTTGACATATATACACACAGTATGACAAAATGAATCTTTAACTGTATTTGCATTTATTTATTCATCCGTGCTGTGGGTGCTACTGAAAAATACATAATATACTGCTTTTCATACAAGCTTTTGTAATACCCACTGAAGACAACTGTTTTTTTTTTCTAGGGGAGGTAGTAAATATAGGCATTATGTAACAATGAAACTATCCCTTTCTTGTCTACTATTCCCAACGATTTATATCCGGTTCATAATAATTGATTGATTATTTGCAGCTTTAAGTCTATTGTAAGACTATTTCATTCATAGTGGACGTCATCAGATACCGACGAAGAGCTTAAAATTTAGATCTTTACCCGGCACTCAGGCCATTTGAGCAGTGACATTCTAGCACCTAAGAGACCTCGGTTTTTTAGATGACATCCGAAAGACCCGTGACGAAGGAATAATTGCTTCCTAATTTCTTTTATCTACCTAGGCGTGTAGCAGCCGTGGACTTGAACAATGAACCCACGACCTTCTGATCACGGAGTGATTGCTCTACCGAATTAGCTAAGTAACGGTCGCTCATAGGTATTACATACTTTCAATTTCCTCGAGTTTCGTGACCTTTTTCTCGCGAATATTTCTCGCAGCGAAGCATGATTTTGATTGGGTATGCAAGTATGTAGAAATTTTCCTCAGTCGAGAAAATTAGACATCGCAGATGGATTTTCAGACTGACGAATCGCGAATAAAAGTTGTCGCGCATATTACTGAGCACAGCTCTGCTTGCAGAGACTTAGGTCAGTCGCGGCCGGGGCTCGATTCCACAACCTCCCGATCACGGAGTGAGCGCTCTGCGGAATGAGCTACCGTGACGACAAAAAAAGAGGAAATTCGAAATGAAATCTGGATATAATTCGTCAGGCAAATTTTTGTGCGAAATCTTCTCAAAATTCTTTGCTACCACGATTCCATGCGATAAAGGCAAATAATAAGTTATTTTTAAGATTTAGATCTTGCAGAAAGTTAAAAGAAACTAATTTAATTTAATGTACTCTACAATGTCTCGCACTATTTAGACCCCTTTATGGAAATGCAACTAACATGCGACATCACAGTCTAAACATGTGTCTCGTGCGGTTTTGAAGTTTCTGGAAGCGAATCAATGTTACATGTGTAAGCCATGTAGGAACATCTGCGCTTTAACAGTGCCGAAAACCAATTACCGTCTTCGAAGACAATACAGGAGTTAAAGTATTTTACAGTCTTCGGAGTATGCACTTCAGCTATTTTGTGATTTGTAGAAAATGCATGATGTGAATATATTCATTTATTTCATTGGTTGAAATGCTGTTCAAATTTACTTGTGATCTAATGAGCTCATGAATACTTGACAAAGAGATTTAAGACAAGAGGATATGACATGACCATTAAACAAGGTGATTTGGAATGGCCACAGTGTATATAAAAAGCAGAAAAAAGATTTGTCTTGGAAATACCTCGCTATATGCATGTTTTGCAAATATTTTAAGCGTCCCTTTAATGTTAGGACAATTCTCGCTTTTATTTGGCATTTTGATTGAATTAAACCTTTAAATTTATAATTATATTTAATTGTGAATATTTGCCTTTTTTTTTTTTTTTTTTTTTTAAATAATTTTGCTTAAGCGGAATGCAAAATTGATAAATCGTTGACGTCAATAAATTCAACATCTTTTTGAATAAGATACTGTGGTCTATTTTTCGTTATGCAGAATAATTTTTATGCTTCTGACAGTTCTACGTGTTTCCATTGCTGCCGATTCCACATGCGCAGATATTAGTACTGACGCCTGTCGTCTGCTTGTCCATGCCGCTCCAAATTTCTGCTCCACTTTGTCGGGACAAACAGACTGTCCTGCTTTCTGTGGGCTGTGTTGTAAGTTACTAAGCTATATGTATTTCGCTTGTGAGACCATATGACATAACGATACGCATGCATCAAAGTCTTTACTGCTGAAAGATGGCAGGAGGTGTAGCCCCAATCTTACATTTTTATGACTCTCTCTCTCTCTTTACTGTTTTCGTGTTCCTAGCTTTCTGATCTCCACCGAACTAAATTTATAGACTTATAGCTGCGCAAGCTTTTCGGTCATGCAACTTTAAAAAACATATCTATACATAAAAAGCGATTAAATCAACAGTCAATATTTGTGCTCATGACATTTTTTCCCGGTTTATCAATTTGAATTCGCTTTTCCTCATTTTGAACATTCCATATAAGTGGAATTTTTAGCGAGAAGCAATTTTAGCGATTTTATAATGTGGAGATACTAGTAGATACCTATTACCATCGATATGGAATGAATTAATATTGTTAGCGATAATCAATTTTAGCCATCTCAGCACCCTTGCTAATAATGCCAAAATTGAATCTTTGCTAAAAACTCTGCTTATACGGTAGCACATTTATCTTATTATGACTAATTGTACGATGCCACTCTCAACATGGCATTCATTGTTTTCGCAAAAGTGTTTCTACCTCACCAGAAGATTAATTTTCAAATTTTTCTACTGAACAAATATTGTCCATCGAAGGATGCTTTTTTCTTAAGCTTTGTTACTAATATTTTCTTTCATCTTACATACTGATTTGTGTGTGTAATAATTTATTTATTGAATATTTTACATTAGCGAGACGGTGTTACCAGTGTCATGAGGTGAACAACCCCGCAGATTGTTCGACTTCCGTTACTTGCGGAGTTGGAAAGGTGATCAAAAATAGTCCTAATTATTTTAAAAATATATTTTCGTAAACATTTTTATGAGCAATGAAACTTAAAGATTTATATGATTTAGCTACTGTGTAATTGAATTTTTTTTCTTCTAATTTCTGTCATTATTTTTTCCCCCCAAAATCTTACAGGAATGTATTGTGTCGGAGACAATCGGGGATGATTTCACTTACCATTTTAATGTTGGCTGCGTCGAAAAGTCGGTAATAAGAAAAGCCTTGATGATTATTTCTTATTAATAAAAAAATTGCATAACATCTATCCCCAACCCCCAACCCCGCTATCTCATTCATTATACACTCATTTATCACATTATTTTCTTGTCTTAACAAACCTTTGTATGAAGATTTTCCTTAATTTAAAGTCGGACAACATGTTTAGTAATATCAAAATCTTTCCGATCTTTCACAATCAGGCTTAAAACCGCTATCAGATTATCGTGGTGAACAAGTAAATAAGGGTTGCTGTCTTGCTGAACATGAATCAGAATAGACTTATGAAATTAATTTGGCAACAGCAATAAATTTGGTGTGACAAAACAAAAAAAATAAATGAATTTAAAAAAAAAAATATGGTCAATATAGTGTACAAATGCAAAGTAGTAAGCATACAGTTCATATTGTAAGGCATATTTTGAGTCATATACAAAACAAACAGTAAAAAAAATCCAACACCTTTGACCTTACATTGAAACTTTAAAAACAAAACATATACATGTATATGCATGAAAATGGGATCATCAAGGAATTAAAGTCGTATTTAAATAAAACTTTGAGCTATGTTTTGAAATATCTTTTAATTTAGGTTTGCACTTCCGGTTCCGATTTACCCCACCCATCGAGTGCGCCAGGTATAGTGGGTAAAAGAGCTGTTTTGAAACGTAACCTAGAGTTTGCTTGCTGCGATTCCGATCTGTGTAACAACAAACTGCCATCAGCATTGCAACGTATGTATTGTTTCAGGAGTCATCTATGAATGGTGTTAACTTTTCGATATAAACTGTAACAGTTTCATTTGGAATCATTATTAAAAAAACTCAATCTAATTTTTTACACAAACCAGAAGCATAGCTTTAACATTCTACTGAATAAACAGACTTTATGTTGACATTCACAATACATAATTGATAAACTTTTAATCTGTAACCATAATTATACTCAGCTTCAATACATTCTCCAATACCGATTTTCATAAAGATCATTGTTGGTTATTCTCTTCTGTTGTTACTTTAAAGTTACGACGATACAGAGACATCCCCCCCTCCCCCGTTTATAAATGTTGCTGTGTATTTTCTATTAGCTACATCTTGTCCATCTGGGACCCATGAATTTAGAGATGGATCAGTCCATCTGTGCTACTTTGTACTCAAACAAGAGCGGAATGCTGATGATGGCGCGCGGGCATGCGCGACTGCATTCAAAGGAGGAAAGTTGGCTTACATTCCTTCAGATGCGGCAGACAACTTTATCAAGTTAACATTCAAAGGTGATTTTTCGTAAGTAAAGTTAAGCATTCATTTTCTTTACTGTTGATGTTTATATGTATTAAAAAATCTTCGTTTTTTTTTTCGCTTTTAATTAGTGTTTGTATTATCTCAAAAAGCGGTTGAGAGTAAAAACTATATTGTTACACGTAAATTTATTTTGGCGGCTGTGTGGTAAACTTCCAGCTTGAACAGACTGGCAATGACCGGCAATTGATCTTTGAGCAATGAGCCCGGCTAAAAATCGCTCGCGCAATGATTTTTGTGCGTGATAGCCAAGGGAGATTGAACGTCGTTCAACCCACATAATGGTGCACTTCCGTTTCAGAAGTCATGCAGCAAAATTCTTTCACAAATTGAGAAAACGTACTTTTATACACAATAAAATCATTTAACTGCTTACATCTCAGAGTGAATGCACAGGTAGCTCATTGGTACATGCATGTACTGTATGCAGGTAAATTTTCGCCCCCGTTTTATTCTTCGCCCCCTTTCGCCCTCAATGCAATCGGGCAAATTTAAAACGGGACAAATTCAAAGAAAAGGACATTATCTCATAAATAAAACTGTGTCTGGGTGAATTCAACGGAAAAAATGTTGCAGATGCTAAAGGGCGAAAATAACCCTGTATACAGTAGCAATTTACGAAGCCACTTCAATTACATCTAACAAACAAAGAAGTCTTAATGTCAAAATAAATAATTTCTTACTTCTTTCCTTCTATAGTTGTTTTAATAAGTTTTGTGTTTGTGTTGATTTAATGCTAAAACTGTACGATAAAGTGCTAAATGTTGAATTCCAACTTGTTAAAGAACTATTTTCCGATTATAAGAATGTGTCGATTCAGTTTTATATAACTACATGTTTACTAGAACGGATGAAGTTCAAGAATATATTTGATTTTAAGATATGATTGTCAAAATTGTTTAAAAACCAATTTAATTGTCATTCAAAACTTATGTTGTTTCAATTTAATTAACAATTCATATTTTATTTACCAGTGGGGACCATTCTGGAGCTTTTATCGGCGTCTTTGATAAAGAGCACGAGTTATCGTTCGTTGATACAGACGGGTCACCACAGACATTTTTTGATTGGCGACACGGACAGCCCAATGACCCTAATGTAAATGACCCCCATCGAGAACCTGCGCAGGACTGTGTGCGCATGTTTCCTGTCGACGGAGAGCATTTCACTTGGCAGGATAAACCCTGTGAACAGTTAGGCTGGGCTCTGTGTTCTATTAATATTCACAAATAAAATGTTCATCATCACCTACTTGTACGGGTTAATTAAATGAAATATGTGGAGATAACGAACAGTATTCGAGCTCAAAAGTCCATTAAACATTACAAAATAGGAGCAGAGGAAACACGAACCTCTAATACACCAGAGGTGGGATCAGGTGCCATGGAAGAGTGAGCATCCCCTGCCGACCGGTCACACCCGCCGTGTGCTGCTCCTTGTCATGATTGGGAAATAACGGAAAAATCCGTCGACAATTCAGTGTGTAAATAATGGCCTAACAATTGGTATGAAAAAAGTCAGTCAGCATTTGACTTAATGATAGATTGTATTTGCTGACTAGGTCATTGTATCGACCATAGAACTTACGAAATGATGACTTTAAACGAGACTGCTGATACTCTTGTTTCATCAACTTGTTGTCAATAACTTACCTCGTTTTAGAAATTGTTCATACATAGAGCATGCTCTGGCGTATCGAATCAACTGAGAGATATAAACTCCGTATGCAGGTGATAAGGTTATATTGCTGCATAGGTAAGGGAAGCTGACGATTGAAAAGTTTAAGTCATCAGGTTTATCAATAAAGCTTTGTTGTTAGATTACCATTAACGTCTTTTTCTAATAAAATATCCAAATATGAAACAGATGTGTCAGACTCTGTGGTATCTTTTATCTCAAGCTCAGCGGGATATATCGTGTCGACACATAAGAATGGAAATAACCATTGTTAATTGACAGTACGTCGTCAATATATCTAAATGTCGAGTCACAGGCCACAGCAAGTGTTTTCTTCTTTTCTCGTAAAAGATTCTGAAAAATTCTGCTTCATATGAATACAAAAATAGGACTACTGATAACGGGGCGCAATTGGTACCCATGGGAATTCCAGTAGATTGTTGGACAACCTGGTCTCCAAAAACCACATAGATATTGTCAATCAGAAACTCGAGCATCTTTTTAATGTCAACTTCAGAGTACTTGTGTGTACAATCAGATTGTTTTTTGACAAAGTAATTTTGCAAATGACCAATGACAAGGTAAGGAAATTTACGAGTTCCATTTTTATTGAAAAAGCAGCTGTCAATGATGTCAGAAAGTCTGGACTTTAATTTATCGTGGGGAATAGTTGTATATAAAGTTGAAAAGTCGTAACTTTTTATGTTGTTAATTTTTGTAAAATTTTGTGATTTCAAATGTTCCAAAAGTTCCTTTGAACTTTTTAGTATCCACATCTGATTTACACTATTTCTTGAATATATTGTTGCACAGTACTCTTGAAGTTTCTCCTTCACTACTGTTAATATCTTAGTGAGGAGTAAAGAAAGAGGCTTGGTAGAACATTTACTGGAACCCGCTATGTATCTTTGTTTGTAAGGATTTTTATGAAGTTTCGGAATCCAATACAGATATGGTAATTCAAATTCATTTTTGTTGTTGGGAATATTAAAAATATTCAAAACTGACATATGATTTTGAAGAATTTCCTCCTTAGAAAGGGAGTCATGGGTATAAGTTGGATTACCACTTGTAGAATTCAATCCCAGTTCCTCTAAAATTCAATTTATATAATGAGCTTTAAAAAGACAATGTTGTTACCTGCTTTGTCAGCAGGGACCAGTACGTACTGATCGTGTTTTCTATCTAATTCTTTTTTCACTTCTGAATTAATGAATACAGAAGGATAGATGGTTTTCATACTGCCCCTCAATCGTTTAATGCGAGATTTTAACATATATCTGATACATTTAATCCATTCTGACAAAGTGTCAAGGTCTTCTTTTTCATGTCTAACCCAACGCCTGTCGTAATCTCTACAGAATCCATAATATATATGAAATTACGATGCCAGTTAAAGGATCGGGGTTCCCTATATTTAGGACCTTTTAAAATTAGTGATCTAACGTCCTCATTATTAACTACCGGTATATTTACGTCATCAGTAATAACGTGTCCAGCAGAACTATAGTTATAGGGTGAAGAAGAACATGAACACGATGGAGAATTATGTTTCAGATATTCGTTATCCAGGCTCTGTAATACACTGGAATTAATTGAACACTTATTGAGTAACTGTTGTGGATGTTAGCCATTTTAAAACAATTTTTCTTAGCATTTTTTGCCAAGAAAAAAAAGAGAGCATTATAATATTCGTTAGAAAATTTTTATTAATACTAACAAAACACGAAATGCTCTTATGCTGTAGAGCTGTATTGACTGGGCTTGGGGTAAACTAAATAGTAAGTTGTTTTGACTCCAGGGTTTCCATTAGTGTGTGAACACATATGAAAGTTACGTTGACTGTAGAACTGAAGTTCTGTTAAATTCATTTGAACATGGTATCCAGCGTCAAATAACTCGAACACGAGTTTCTAAAAAAAAAAATATATATATATATGGCCTAGACTAAATATACATGCATTGAGATAGTTTAATTGCTCTTTTCATAAAAGTAAGAAAATGTGTCAAATCAGTAAAATTCTACCATAAAAATGCCCGATTTGTTCAAGTTTTGTTGTACAATGAATAAATCTGCATATACTAAAAGAACAAGACCAATCTACAAGTCCTTACAAGTACTTAAAAACCAAATATATTTTTGAAAGAAGTAATATAAAAGCTTTTATCTCCCTGAACAACAAGATACAAGGGACCTCACATTTAATGTGTACGTGAAATATAACTTCGAACCTGCCATTTGCAGGCATGGTTGTTTCAAAAACAAAATAAAGGTATCGCCATATTTTTTGTGGCTGCCTCTTTCCTTAGACCCCTCCCCTCTTTTTCTCAATTCAAAGCTACCAGAAAAACATTCTTTAAAGCATTTGTTGCTAGATTTACTTTAACAAATATCAAGATGTTATATTAACACAAGTTCTTTCACCTGTATATCGTATATATTCAGATTATCAAATTAATTTATCACTGACTACTTGAAAACTAAAGTTTTCAGTGGTCTTTACAGATAAAAATCCAGAAAGATACCTCAGTTTCCATGAGCGTTTTTGGGTCCTGCAGGATGCCTCTGTCCTCGTATGGTATATGGTAACAGATACAGTAGTGGATATGCTGATGGGATGAGTGGTGAGAGACACAGAAATAATGCTGAAACGGAATCCAAACACAATCACTTGAAAATTGAACAAAAATAACACAGAATATTTTACATTGGTAAACTTCAAGGTCACCTTTTATATTGAATAAATGCTCAGACTTCGAGAGTACCAATGTCCCGGACTATGGTTGATATCATGCATATTTAAATAGATTTGTTATATTGATAATAAGTTTTGTAAATCCATTTTTTAGCACAGATAAGTATTCACTGGAGAGAGACCACAGCTTATCAAAAACAACTTTATCTAATTGATTAATATGATTGTTTATTTGACGTACAGAATCTCTGTCATATAAATAAAAATTGTTGACAAATTCCCATGGTTCTGGCGTGGGTCGGTGAGTAGTGGTTGCTTTTGTAGTCACGTGATGTGTTGTGTCCGGTACCACAGCAAGTAATACAATACCCTGCAATAAAGGAATTTTTGATCATTTAGAGACCAAAGACTTACATCGCAATTCAGATTATAGACCGTAATGCTATTTTATGAAATCCGAATCCAGACTATAAAACAATGAAATCAATTGTCTCTTTCGGTGACGTCCACTCCAGAATAAATACATGTTTAGATACCACGTATTGCCGATGGAAGGCTGCAATTTAGACTAAAATCGGCACTTATGTACATTGATTAGTAATCATGAGGGAGCTTTTTCGTGCAAGCATCATCAGCGACAGAGGACTTCGGATTATACCTTTCAGTTTCATCTGAATGTCTGGTGTCCGTGCCGCAGTGGGATTCGATCCTGCAGCGTAAGGATCAACTCAATACCTAGCAACGACAGAATGAACTAGTAGGGGGGATTGGGCTTCATTCTAATCACAGCGCCACAAGGGCGACTTATCAGCTCATTTGCAAAATTATTGTTTATAAAATGTATTCTAGTGAACATAACGCAAAGTGTACGATCTAAAATAATCTACAAACAATACAAATCTCTGAACAAGCAAATTTATGTATGATCGGGTTTCTAAAATATTAAGAAGTTGCCGACTTTCTATGATGTTCAAATTTCTTGCTTTTGCCAGTACCCAGATAAAACTCAACAATGTTTTATCTCTTCATTGCACTTAATGGAGGCCTAGGATCTTTGAAAAAAGAAGCAGCTATACATATGCATTTTACTTGCACAAACATAGAAAAAAAATGCTAGTTTCATGTTTTTTGAAGAAAAAGTTTGTATCTGGAGTAAGAGCATTAACATTTTTCATGCACAACAAAACATGTCCTAAATATTACTAAAATTTAAATTCTTTATATAAAGAAGTAAAAAAAAAAAGTGAGTTTTAAGCGAATTCAAGAGTTAAGTGCAGTGAACACAGATGAAAAACAACACCCACACACAAAATGAAAAGTTATTGTGGATGATTGCGAGATAGGACATGGATTCACACTAAAACGTTTACTAGAGAAACGAAGGCATCGGAAAGAACGAAAAAGTTTGAAATCTAAAACAATTGCTTGAAAATCCTTCCTACTAATTTACCAAACAGCTTCGTACAGGATTTATTGTCTTTGTCAAAAGAGGGAGCCCACATTAAAACTTACGTCAAAATTATATAAAAATGAAATGATTTCTGCACTTTAAAAATTCGAAAAGATGTACTTACAAAGACTGAAGACAGAAAGATGGTCCTCGTGTAAAAGTTTGTTTCCATGACTTGAAATTCTTTATCACTTTCTGGACTTACTGACCCTCCTGTATCTTGTTTGGTCGTCTATACAGAAGTAGACCATCTGCTTCATGTTATATGTCTTCTACAGAAATGTTTGAACTTGAAGTCCTGACTGTCGTTTACTGATTTTTCTTTGAAATTTAAAATAAGAATACGAATATATAGTCGAGGACTTCTTTTAAGTTTCAAAGATAAATCTGTAAACGGCAGAACTCTTACAGCCTATTGGAGGAGTCTTTTGTCATGTCGTTCACTCAAGGTTGCAACCTACGAAAATATATTTAATATAGCTTATAGATGCTTCAAAATTCAGGATTAAATAAAGAATAAAGAGCAATGGATGGCGGTAAATTGCATTTTATATAAATATAGTTAGAGTGGTAAAGTGAGGTGATTTAATTTGCAAAATAAATGAATATTGTATTGGCAATTTACTTGCAAATAAATACATTATTTACATGTAAAGTAAATGCCTTGATATTATGCATTATTTTTCCTCAACAAAATACGTGTAGTGTTACAGAAAACGCTGTATTCAAACAGTAAAATTACAATAATAACCAGTTGTCACTATCTTGGCTATTTGACTTTGGGTATGTAAATATAAACAAATCTAGGTACCCGAATAGGCACTCAGGACAAGAGCTGCTCAAAAGGCTTTTACTTATGCCAAAATAAAAATGCAATCCCTATGTATAGCTTGTTATTTTTTTTTTAATTCGAGCAATCTTGGCCTTTTTCACTTGAATGGACTTGCATCCGCAGGAAAATCGGTGTATACTTCTCCAGTGCAACAATCTAGCCTGCTTGTTAAATGTAATATTTCTGAAATATAAAAAAAGGCACGATTCAGTAAAATAGAGAACATCTAAGGCATGGTCTCCATACATCATTCCTAAGGTTAGTCATGTAAAAACTATACCCACTTGGGAACGGATCTGGACCTGCAGTATTCAACCTTTACGCTGATCATTTATATGTGAAGTGTGTGTAATGCCTTCCTGTGAATTTTTAAATGTGATTAAATTAGTTCTCATATTTTTGTTGAGGAAGTTTTGGCAATTGTTTCAGCTATTTAATTAGATTTTTCTTTCTTATCTGTAATAATTTGATTTCCAACATTAAAATGTTGATATTTTTCGCCGGAACCTTTTCCTTTTATTTTTCGTATCGCATTCGATACCTTCTGAATAGGAGTATGTGAATTTAGGATTTTCATTCACTGCAAGTTATAGTTTTTCGAGCTTTTGCTCGAAATATCTAAAAATTACTTAAATTTATCGGAGAATGATTTGTTAAAGAGTCTTTCCGCTTTTTTACGGGTTCTCATAGCTTCATTGCATTCTTCTGTGTACCATTCTTTTTAATTCTAGTAGATTTTGTCTAGGTTTTAGGTATGTACTCATTTGCTGTATGTTATAAAACTTCTGTAAATTTTGTATAGATCTTGATTCAGGATGATTTTCAAATTTCTCAAATGTTTTGTAACCACTGATATTCAAATTGACTTCAAACAGCATTGTTTAATTTCCAGTTAATACTCATTAAACTAATAGAACACAATGTTTTAGTTCTAAATATAATTTGAAAATAAAGTTTTCCTCTTGACAAAATAATTTCATAGACATGTACTAACTGGCAATTTAAAATTGTTATTTAGTGAAAGACTATAATGATTAGGAAATTATGGCTTCCACACAAAACGTCATGAACGGACCAATCAAAATCTTATATAAGAAGGCTCCGCTATACTGATAACTATCAAGGGATATAAACCTTAGCCCGGATGCAGATAAGTGTTGGAACACATTTGATATACAGATACAGATATGCAGATAAGTGTTGGAACTCATTTGATATACAGAGATTGTGATGAAATAATCTGCATTTTCAAGTTTTTTTTTTTTTTACCTTAATCTGTTTTTTTTGTCAGTGCCCAACAGAGGAATATGGGAATTAAAGTCGCCCATGAGAAGAAATGGGGTAGGAAGTTGCTGAATAAATTTTGTCAGTTTGTGAGACTGTAGTTCATAATTTGGGGGAATATATATATAGCACAAAGGGTAATTGTTTTATCAAGAGAAAGGTGTATAACTACTGCTTGGAGATTTGCTTTCTTTCAAAAACACGTGACTAAGGATGTATTTGTTGTGGATTGTTATAGAAAAACCACCAGCGGCTCCATCAGTCTTAAAACTTAATCATGTTGCAGTCCGGAGGATTGAGGTGGGAGAAGTTATTCAGAATTAAAGATTAACTAATATACATTAAAAAGATTATACATTAGAATGTTCTTTCCCTTTATAAATTACGAGATAAACAATATATTTACCTCCATAAAGCAGGCCTGTACCAACGGTTACAAAAGTGGCTGGGGGGGGGGGCAACTTCCCAAAAATATCTGACAAGCAAAAAAAAAAAAACAAAAACAAAACAAAACAAAAAAAAAAAAAAGAAAAAAAAAAGGTATTTACCGTCAAACCGACCTTACTGCAACAAAAGGGGTGGAGGGGTGGGTGGGTGGGTGGAACCAGCATATAAAGCAATATTTACAATAGCGAAATACCATACTCAGAAAAAGTAGGGGGGCTGCCCCCCCCCCCCCCCGCATTCTACGGACCTGATGAAGTACATCTTTAAAATAAATATGTTTTTCATATGTAATATACAAAGTTGCTTATCATTTACTATCGACAAAACGACAGGTCCCTTTTTTTTAGAACATTAAATTTTACTTATCGCAAAAAAAACGTACGTTACACAGTTTGTGTTTTATATTCATGAAGTCAAATATATTTTTGATGATAGGTGATACATGTGCCTGATTCTAATTTATATTTTATGCAGTCAACGGTGACTTCAGGAAATGATAAAGTTTAAAACGGTATCTTTATTGTTCGATTTTTGAACGGTAAATCTTCTCTACTATAGTCTCGATCATTCAGACGCATGCCTTTATCACACAAATCGAAGCGGTTTGATGATCAAGATTTTACTTCATTTATTTCCCGAGCGACTATTGATGGCAACATCAATTTTTTTGTTTATTTTATGTATGTTTCTTGTAAATACATGTCTACCGAGCAATGGTTCTGAATAAGTAAAGACAATTCATTAAAATTAACTCTAAAACCTCCAAGCGACAATTCCATTGAATAAATGTAGGTTGATTCATTTTTCTTTATTACGGGTGATGGGGAATATCCTCCCTTCGTTGTTATTTGGAGACTTACCTCGGACTCGCGGGGAAGAATGACATGGTGTAATGTCCATTTCCTCAAAGTCCCCAAATTTAATGTAGAGAGCTACGGTATTTCATGACCCATTGGGCAATCGATCTCGCGACTGCTTTTGGGTGTTTTTTTTTTTTTAGGGAGGTCTGTTTGTCTCCCTGTTGATTAGTCATCCCACGGGCTGACTATTTACGGTGGGATGAAACTGCAAGTGTGCTTGCGTAATTTGGAATTCTGGGAAAAAGATGTACACGACTTGTTCTAAAGAAACTCGTACTATTTGCTCCAACCAGAGGGTATGATTTTTCACGCACACTCTCTGAACAAAGACACGACCTCGATCTATTTATAGAGTGCATTGTTCTTCGTCGTTCTCGACGAAAATTTAAAGATATAGATTGTTCTAAGGAGGAAATATCATATATGTTAATATGAAAATATTTCAGTGCTTCTTATAGAGTATGAGAAGTTTATATGTAGAGCACATTTAACACTTGCTATATATATACATGTACCCTCAATCGCCGTTGAAATTTCACGGATTTGGTGTGTATTCCTCTGGATGTCTGACGCAAGACTCCCTCGATCAATACCTTGCATAAGACATGTACGGGTCGGAATTCACACAATAATCCACTTGCCATAAAGGTCCCAAAACAGTGAAAAAAGAATCTCTTTTCACTTTAATGATGAAAGTTATGAAAACATCAGAAGACCACTGTAAGACGGTAATTCTTATATTCTATCAAATCAAAGTACTGAGGGATCATATGAGATGACTTAGGTCACGTGATTCCATTCAACCAATCAGTGCTTAGTGTAACGCGATTCCAACAAGACACGCTTATTTCTCGACAGTGAATTTTACTACTTTTTGGATTATTTACAGAGTTTATCGAACATGTTTATGATGTTTTTTCATCTAAAGCATTACGGAACTTTTGTTTGCTGTGGCACTTCATGTCATATTCCTCTCGTTTTGTTGTGTTTTGGGTCAAATTCTTTGACCCTTATCGAGAGCTTTGTTTACAAAACAATGGCGAACATCGCCAATAAACCTAATCGTTGTAATAACGATGCTGTCTTCGACAGTTTGGTTGCGGGAGTTCAATCCCATAACGACAGAAGTAAATTCTTGTCGATTGATGTGCCTGAAGCTGCAAGAGAGGAAATAGTTGATCATACTGTTGACAATTTTCACAGCGATTGTGAAGTGGGCGGAGCTTCGCCAGCTTTCCCGCCATCAATGTTGATGGACGCTGCGCCGTCCCAGAATGCTATGCGCAAAACAAATATGGCTGCGCCCATTGACGAAGACCAAGATCATGTGCATTGGAAAAAACTGTTTTTTCAAAATCAACAGATTATCAACCAACTCATGTTGAAAAGACCATTGGTTGTTAATACAGCCGAACAGCCTGTTTCTAAGAGACACAAGGCATGTTTTTTATTCTGACATAAAATAATAATTTCAACAGTTGAGCAACTAAAAAATTTCTAAAAGGATAATACATGCAATATTTAAAGTTATATTTAAAATGAATAATCCAGTCAGATTAAAACATTGTTACAACTAGATTTAGAACTGTATGATGCCATATATTAGAAAAGTTATACATGGCTCATTGTCTTTTCAGATTGCTAATGATCCCAATGAAATTATGTCAGACAGTGGCACAGAAGACACACTTGATGACTTGATATCAAAAGTACAAAGGGAAAAAGACGGAGAAAAAGAAGAAGAGGAACAAGAAGACAATTTCTTAGAATCCTTAGAGGAATTTATGATAAAGGACGACAGAACGGGACCAGCTCTAAGCGCTGAGTTAGCCAAAGTTCTGAACACAAATTTTCAAGTAAGGCCATCAGAGGAGAAAGCAAAAACGTTATGTGAGAAACACCACAGGCCAGAAAATTGCACCAACATGACTGTTCCGAGGATTAATGAAGAGATTTGGCCATCTTTAAAGAAAAAGTCACAGTCAATAGACTTTAAAATTCAGAAGTCACAAAACATTGTCTTAAAGGCTTTGACTCCAGCATGCAGACTACTGGACAAACTGATTTCCGCAAGAAAATCAAAAACATCAGGATTTAAAGATACAGATGAATGCCTTGAACTAGCGCAGGATACAGTGAAATTACTTCAGTTGGCGTTCACAGACTTATCACATAAAAGGAGATATTTAATTCGCCCAGAATTAAAACAAAGCTATAAACCTCTTTGTAATGATTCAAACAAAGTAACAGAATTTCTCTTTGGGGATAATGTGGATGAAAAAATCAAAAAAAATGACACGTCCAAAAGAGTGAACAAAAAACTCCAGGGATATAATTTTCAGCCTTCATCCACAGGAAAAAGTCAAGGAATTCACAAATCCCATGGCTCTGGCTACAGATTTGGTTGGAAAACACAGCCACCTCATGGCAACTATCCCCAGTCATCTTACAAATATGACCAAAACAACAATGGGTCTTTTTTAGGGAAAGGCCGGGGCAGGAGACCACCTCCAACCCAACAGAAAAAGTAGAACTTTCTACACAGCCAAAAATCACAGACTTTGCTCATCTTGACCATCCTGTAAGTACAATAAATAGTGGGGAAAAATACAACATTCCTAAGCAATTTCAAAATACACCTGAAAATTTTCATGCAGGAAAAATTTGTTTTAATTTTGACAATTGGAAGGAGTTAACCTCCGATAGAAAAATTCTTAAAACTGTACTAGGATATCAACTTGACTTTATACAGTGTCCTTTGCAAGATAGGCTTCCTCATCAAATAAGGTTTTCTCCAGAAGAAATGATTGTCATTGATACAGAAATTCAAAAACTCCTAGATAAAAATGTAATTGAAAAGACAAAAAAAGTTGAAAATGACTTTGTTTCAAACATTTTCACTAGGAAAAAACGTGATGGGACTTTTAGACTAATTCTAAATTTACAAGATTTAAACAAGGATGTTGAGTATCACCATTTCAAAATGGAAACTATAAGAAGTGCTTTGTGTTTAGTAAAGCAAGATTGTTGGCTGGCTTCGGTAGACTTGAAAGATGCCTATTATTCTGTGCCAATATATTCCACAGACAGAAAATTCTTAAAATTCATATGGAGAGATCAGTGTTTTCAATACACTTGCTTACCTAATGGACTATCTTCTGCTCCACGTGTGTTTACAAAACTTTTAAAACCAGTTTTTAGTACACTGAGAAAGCAAGGATTTGAAAGTGTACCATACATAGATGACATCTTACTGTTAGGTGATAGTTTTGAACATTGTGCACAAAATATAGGAAGTACATCAACATTACTTGACAAATTAGGATTTACAATTCATCCTACCAAATCTGTTATTGTGCCTGTGCAAGAAATAACATTTTTAGGGTTTCTCATAAATTCTAAGAAAATGACAGTTTCATTAGTGCAAGACAAAGCCAATGAAATAAAGGATCTGGGATCTAAATTAATTATCAAACATGAAATTCAGATAAGAGAATTGGCACAGCTTATTGGAAAAATGGTTGCAGCTTCTCCAGCTGTTCAACATGCACCTTTACGATACAGAAATCTTGAAATTTTCAAAGATAATATGTTACGACACAACAGAGGAGATTTTGACAAAAAGATTCTTTTGACTGTTGAATCTATTAAAGACATTTCATGGTGGTGTGACAATATTTGCACAAGTTCAAAGGCCATTCTGATTCCTACTGTAGACATTATTTTAGAAACAGATAGTTCTCAAAAAGGATGGGGAGGTTGTGAAATAAAGTCTGGTAAGAAGACTGGTGGAAATTGGTCCTATGAAGAGAAGCTTAATCACATTAACTATCTAGAACTGAAAGCTGTTTTCCTCAGTATTAAAACATTTTGTAGCACTTTAGAAAACACACACATACAAGTTAGATTGGACAACATGGTGGCTATGCATTATATAAACAACATGGGGGGCAGAATTCCTGAACTCAACTTGTTAGCGAGGGACATCTGGTTTTGGTGTATAGCAAGGAACATATGGATAAGTGCCTCTCATATTCCTGGCATTGACAATGTAGAAGCAGATAGACTGTCACGTACTATTAATGATGATTTAGAGTGGAAACTTAATGAGACTGTTTTTCACAAGATTTGTCAAATATTTAATTTAAAAGATGGAATGGACTTGTTTGCATCCAGATTAAATCATCAACTTGAAAGATATGTGTCTTTTCTCCCAGACCCTGAAGCCATTTGTGTTGATGCATTTTCTTTTCCTTGGAAAAATGACAGTTTTTATATTTTTCCTCCTTTCAGTATGCTGGGAAAAGTATTACAGAAAATTCAACAGGACAAAACAAATGCAGTAGTAATAGCACCACTGTGGCCCACACAAGCCTGGTTTCCAGCACTCCTGAAAATGGTTTATCAACAACCTTACCTTCTGAACAACAAAAACCTCCTCACAATGCCAACAGACCCAAACAGACAACACAGGATTCCAAAGCTGAAGATGGGATGTTTTCCGTTGTCCGGAAACTTCTCCAAGACAGAGGAATATCAGAAGACCTTGCCTTGGTCATCTTCAACTCCTGGAAGAAATCTTCTCAAAGACAATACTGGAGTTATATCAAACGATGGCTGCGATTTTGTGATACTGGGAAAATTGATTCATTTAATCCCACTGTAAATAATTTTCTTTGTTTTTTACAAACTTTGTTTGATCAAGCATTGTCATATAGTGCAATCAATACAGCCAGATCTGCTGTTTCATCATTGTTGTCTCTGTGTGGAAAAGAAAATTTTGGATCTCATACTCTAATTAAGAGATATTTAAAAGGTGTTTTTGTAAAACGACCAATGTTGCCAAAATATAGCTGCACATGGGATGTGTCAATAGTTATAAATTATTTGAAAACATTATTCCCATTAACAGATTTATCCTTGAAACTTTTGTCATGTAAAGTTATTATGTTGTTAGCTTTATTGACTGGTCAGAGAGGTCAAACATTACATTTGTTAACTGTTGATGATGTAGTTGTAGAAAAGGATCATGTAGAAATTAGATATAATAGTTCCCTGTTAAAAACTTCCAAACCAGGAAAGCATGTAAATAATGTGAAGTTCCCAATGTATGTAGATAAGGAATTGTGTATTGTGAAAACACTATGTGAGTACTTAGAAAGAACAAAACTTATAAGACAAGATAAAAAAATGTTTATCAGTACTATGAAACTTCATACGGGTGTTAGCAGAGATACTGTAAGTAGATGGATACGAGATACAATGAAACTGTCTGGAATAGATATATCTAAGTTTTGTCCACATTCGACACGGGCAGCTGCTACTAGTGCCGCTCATAAAGCAGGTGTACCAATAGACATTATCATGCAGAAAGCTGGCTGGTCGAACGCCAGTACTTTTCAGAGGTTTTATAACAAACCAATACAAAAATATGCACAGTTTGCTGAAAGTATATTAAAAAGTGTAACTTAAAATGGTTTTGAAGAAAGGATGTAAATAAATGGAATGTTTTTTTATTTTTTCTACTTCTTGGTTATTTATTTTATGCATAGACAAATACATCAGCTCTGAAATCTCATATGATCCCTCAGTACTTTGATTTGATAGAATTCTTAAATTAAACGAATATAACTTGTTAGATGAAGTTTGATTGTAATTCTATCAAATCAAATAGTACTGAGGGATCAGATGCCTACCACAAAATTTTATTCATATCATAAATAAACCCACCCTTGGGCATTTTAAGTTTTTCAGTAGATGTAATTGTCTATGGTATCTGAAGTCTGATTGGTTGAATGGAATCACGTGACCTAAGTCATCTCATCTGATCCCTCAGTACTATTTGATTTGATAGAATTACAATCAAACTTCATCTAACAAGTTATATTCGTTTAATTTAAGAAATTTACATGATGATAGACGTGTAAGTGCCGCTTGTGCACGTGAACCGCGCCAACAGGTGAGAAACTGACCACAGAAGAACTGCGATAGTTGAGAGAAACTGCGCAGATTTATAGACCCCCCCCCCCATTAGAGAGAGTGAACGAGATAGAATCCAGTATGTTAATCTAGTTTTGCTTTGATGGTAGACATCATTAGTTACATTTTAGGGTATACGTACTGCATGTAAAAAATATCAATTCTATTCTTTCCCAACAACACTAAAATGGATGCTTAAATTTAGATACTGATTTAATTATGCATGCAATATGCACCCCTCCCCCTTCCCCAAGCATGCATTGCCTCGAACCTGCACGATTAAAAGCTTTTATCTAATAATAATTAAAACAATCTAACCCAAAGTCTACCTTCCTTTTAAGCATCATAATCTGTACCATTTATAGAATTTAACAGTAAAAATGAAAATGTATGCATTGCAACGTTGGGATCTTAGTGGCTTTGTTCATTTCCGAGACGAACTTTCTCTGATGTCCACGCCCAAAAGAAATTAATTGGAGGTCATCATAATGATCACGATGTAGTCTAACTAAACTTTCTTCTATGCTTTATTATTCATCATGTACAGCATTATGTTGCAAATAAGAAAACGATAAGGCGAAATATAACTTAGATTACAGAGTGTACAATCACTTTTAAGGAACTCAACATGATGGATAAAACAAATCATTCCCATCACAAAACAAGAAAGAAACTTTCTGTATTCCAGTGGCTGACTCTCAGCTTTTTTTAAAAAGCTAACCTTGTATTGATTTACCCGTAGCTGCTGGCTTTGACGAAGCCGCACCTTGAGGGTTTTTTTTGGTGCAGCTGCAGAATCAGAAGACTTATTTTTGTTATTAGATGACAAAGGTATTTGCAAGATGAGGTCTGCTGAATAAAATCTTTTTCAGAACCTGTGTAGACATGTCCTTCAAAGAGGACGATTTCGCAACAGTTGCATGTCATGTCAAGTTTGGTTAAGGAACACTGTATATGTTGACTAATTTATTGCCTTCTGGATAAAGTATGCTCTTCTAAGCTTTGTATTTCTTTCTTTTTTTCCATAAAGGATGTCATGTGTTCACCCTTGTAATTTCTGCATTTGGGGTCTTTATGACAACCTTTGTCATCATGTCCCTCTTCACCACTTGATGCTTGCTTCAGAGCCTTTACAATTGGATTGTCCATGTCCAACCAACCCAGTGGATTTGGGACAAACATATCAATTTTCATGTGGTAAAGCCCAACTTAAGTATTTTTGGTAATGTTGATAAGCCAAAGGTCAAAAGGTATGTATTTGTAGATTCTACGTTATCACTGGGCTTTTTTGTTTTGTAAACCTTGTTATGTTGTAGCAACGAACATTTTTTATTTGAGTTTTACTACATGATAACATATTGCTATGATCTTTCGGTTGGAAGAAAAATCATATTTATGTTTTAGGTTATGCCTTTATCACAATATGTTTGTTTGTTTGTATGTTGTTTAACGTCCCCCTTTTTCACTCGCGTCTCCATATGAGTGAAAAATTATCGATAGGGACGTTTAACAACATACAAACAAACATATTGTGATAAAGGCATAACCTAAAACATAAATATGATTTTTCTTCCAACCGAAAGATCATAGCAATAGTTATAATCACTGTAATTGTGTTTTTTGATTGAGAAAATGTTAAGTATTACCAAACGAAATTCATAATTCGTAACTTGACTTACAAAAATAAAAGAAAAAACTAGTGAGTGTTTTCTCCCAACAATTTAACGTACTTTTCACAAATATTTATGTTTGAAGTGTATACATACACATATTGTTATGGGTCAGAATAAGCTGAAATGCCAGTAAAAATCAATCACACAGTTTAATCTTAACAACAATTTATTAACAGTAATGTATAAAAATTAAAAAGTACAAACTTACAGCAAGAATCCAAACATACATACAACAGAGTGTCCGTTACTACACACAATGTCCCAGTGAGAGTATCCTATCCCAGTCTCTTTGTACTCCGTACGCCAGTCTTACCCACACATACATTTACCTTAACATAAATCTAGAACATTCTAGATATTGTAAATACAAGATTTTACTGGAACATTCTGGACATACACGAAATTCAAGAATGTTCTAGAAAAAATGACCAACAATGTTGACCACTCTGGAATGTTCCAGAAATTTCTTTATGTTACTTAATATATACATGATGAAACAATACAACCATATTTCAATTACAACACACCTCACAACACATATCATTACAAAAGTGCAAACATTTCAGCAAAATGAATAGTTGTCAATCTTTTCAGACCAATTAGTTTTTTCATTCCAGTACCTCATTTACAACCTATTTTGCAACAAGTAAAATAAACACATAACAAAACTGTAAGCGCAGAGAATATATGCATACACCCATCGTTATACAAAAGCCAGAAAGTAGCGAAAAGATTTTTCTATCCTTTTCGACCACATAGTTTATGCATTTCTCGATTGAATTGTTTATCAGTGAAAAAGTACACAAAGGGATTCAAAATGCCGTTAAAGGTAATTATATCTGGTAGATATTCTGCTATCAGGTCCTCCAACTTGGAAATTTTCTGTGTCGGTACGAAATATCTTCGTGCGGCGTGAGCTGTGTGATACAGAGTCACTGTGAAGAAAGTGATCAAAAGTAAAAGCGTTACAATGGCCAATGTTCTCGATATTCTTTTGTTCTTTTCTGTTTCTTCTTGTTCCGCTGGTTCTTTACCTGTCTCATTTGTTTTTCTCATGGATAGGGATTTAAAACTGTAAGACATCACTTTCTTTCTGTATTTTGCTTTCTTTGAAAGAGCTTTTAGTATGCTTACTTGAAGTTTTACGATGACGACTAAATAAATTAGAGATTCTACAAATAAGAACATATAATAGAGAAATTGTAACAAATCTCCATCGTATTCATTTTTGATAGCACATCTTGTAGCATTTATATTTTCTACTACAACATATCTTCTACCATGAAAGAAAAAGTTCGGAAATTGTATAGCAAAGCATATCAAAACACCACACATACACATGATTTTTGATTGCTTCATCGTAATTTGTGATTTAAAAGGAGTGCATATTTTTCGGTGTCTCTCAATACCGATGAAAAGTGCTACTGTAAGCGAAACATGTGCCACTGAATAACCAATATACTGGGATATCTGACACATGATAAGGTCATCATCAGTGACTTGACTATATACTAATATCATTCTATAAAGTTCTTTTGTAAGGTGTGTGTTACAGAGAAAAAGATCTACTAATGCCAGCAAAAGAACAAAGATTCTGTAATTTGAAGATGAAGTTAAACGCGTGCGAAAGATGTGTATAACCAGCATATTGCCAATGATCCCTGTTATGTTGAGAATATACGATATGACTCCGAGTGGGGCTCTTTCTTTCCTCCCCTCTATGTTGTGTTCTAGGATAATTTGATTTCCCATCTTGTAGGCGTTACTTCTGATGACTTAAATCTGAAAGAATAAGAAAACCATCTAAATGATTTCATCTGTACATGCGATTGATTGATTGATTGTATGTTGTTTTACGACCCATTCGAGGATTTTTCACTCATATAGAGACGTCACCATATACCGGTGAAGGACCTCAAATTTTGACCTTTACTCGGCACTCAGGGCCATTGAGCGGTGAGGGATCTTTATCGTGCCAACACCTGCCGTGACACGGGGCCTCGGTTTCTAAGGT